GGAAGACAGAGAGAGAGTGAAAGGGAGAGAAAGAGAGAAGGGGACTCGCTCACTGCCAGAGAGTATATTATTAGCTTAGACAAAAGAAGGAGGATGAGTGCTACAAGAGAGAGGGGAGAAGAAGGAAGAGTAAGGAGAAGGAGAGGTACAAAAAGGATGCGGAAGAGGAGGAGGAGTGGGGGATTTGATTTGAAAGAATGCAAGAATAGAGATGAAAAGAAAGAGCAAAACTGCAAGAAGAGGAAAGAGGAACAAGAGAGGGAGGGGGGGGCAGTCAAGGCGCCACCTTAATTTCACAGGAAAGTCATTAAGGACACCGCAAAATAGAGGTAGACTGACAGAAGCAAAACAAGAGAAGCCATTATCATCCTCTGAACTAAATAGGGGAAAAACAAGAGGGATACCATTAAATATACGGCTGAAAAATGCAGCAAATAAAGGAGTCTGCAAAAATGAAAAGCTAAAATGAGGAGTTATCAATGACAAAACAGCAATATGACAATAATAAGATATGTCGTAACCCAACAACTAAGACGATATTTTTTGACACTTGTGCTTGCTCCAAAGACACCGCGGGATACCTGGAGTCAGACGAGGGGCAAAGATCCACAACCTCTCCTTTCTCATCGGGAAAGAGAACGATGCACCAAACAACTTGATACCAGCCGCGGTCTTATATCTGAACTGAGACGAGTCATAAACTAAAACCAGTGGGGGGAGAGGCATCAACCTCAAAGACCATCTCTCGAGGCTTAGCGAAGATATGTATCTTGTTTACTGTTCCAAAACATCCGCAAAGCTTTGAGATTGAATTTCTCTGAGCCTCGGGTTATCTGGTTTACTGCATAACCGGATTCCAGCAGAGGAACACGATAGGCCTTGCTCGGTCGTTTAGTTTTGCTGTGAGTTTACCGCCCTACTAGATACAAATGGGTCATTCCAGAGGCAGCAAACTGGGGTCAGGGGCTAAAGAATAGAACAAGGAATAGAACAAGGAATAGAACAAGGAAGAGAGAGAGAGAGAGAGAGAGAGAGAGAGAGAGAGAGAGAGAGAGAGAGAGAGAGAGAGAGAGAGAGAGACGGGTGGGGGGGGGGGGGGTTGATGGAAAGATTCCCCGCAGGTATTATCGCATACACCAAACAAAGGATATAATATTTCTGTGGGTTTGAGGAATGGGACGGGGGTTGTCTTTACAATGCTTATTTAAATTGGGTGTCACCCTTTTGAAAGATGGGTCTACATTCTATGAGCTCACTTTCACTCC